TTGGCTTGCTCGAGAAAGAGGTTTTAAAACCAAGATTGTTAGTTGATGATCTGTGGGTATTGGGTTGTCATGGGTTCAGTTCGAGAGAGTGAATCCTAAACCATTTTACACATATTCAACTCAAGAGAGTGAATGGACTAAGGAGTAGGTTGTTCTTACTTTGCATGCTTATCGATGTTTGAGAGAAATTGACTTGATACGGGATAAATTTTTTGAGAGAAATTTTACCTCCTCTATAGTCTAGCTTATTCACTAATATTCAGCTATTTCCTAACAGTTGCAACTACCCATTTGTCTAGATTAGCCTATAATCGAATCACATCCCAAGAACCTGTCTCATTATTGTTATTCTGTATTATTTGATGCTGCTGTAATTGATAATTTAAACCAAAACCCCATGTTATTTGACATTCGTGTCACCCCCTGATTTGTATTATATTTTTATTCAATAATGTCTATTCCTATGACTGATTTGAGCATATTTGTATTTCCCTATTGAATCTTAAACACGTACCACTCCCTGTGGGATTCGACCCCAACTCATTTAGTTAGATTTTATACTGGCTAACGATCGTTGACGCTTAGAATTGGATGAAGTGTCTTTGAAACGTGATTAATCAAAATGGAGTCGCTGTCGGAGAGTGGTGTTAGTTAAGATTTTTTGGTTAAGTTGAATTTTGTTCTTTTTAGTCATAGTTGAATCTACTTACTTTTAGTTTTGGCTTGTGTGTTGCTATTTTGAACAGAGGAAATGAGTGCAAATGGAAGCAATGGTAGCCAAGTGGGCCACCAAGATGACATCGGCAACCTCAACGATGTCAATGAGCCTAAAGTTAATGACCCTTATCTAATGGGTGAAATTGGTGCCATTCGCTTGCCTCCGGTTGTAGGGAACATTGTGTTCCATATTACAAGTACTATGTTGCATCTCTTGCAATTGAAAGGGTTGTTTGGTGGGCTGGCTCATGAGGATCCCCATGAGCATATTAGAAACTTTGTTGATGTTTGCGGGTCGTTCTCCTTCAAGAACATATCTCAAGAGTCGCTCCGGTTGAGGTTGTTCCCGTTTTCTTTAACAGGAGAAGCATGTAAGTGGCTGGTTGAATTGCCACGAGACTCAATCACTTCGTGGGAAGATCTTGTAACTGCATTTCAAGTGCAATTTTTCCCTCCTTCGAAGATGATGACTTTTCGGGATAGCATCCAAAGCTTCAAGCGTTTGGAGGGTGAGCCAATTCATAAGACTTGGCTACGATTCAAGAAGTTGGTGCTGCAATGCCCAACTCATGTTTTGCCCGACAATGTTTTGCTGCAGTAATTTTATCGAAGCCTTGATTCGGTGAACAAGGGTGTAGCTGACCAACTTTCTCCGGGAGGTTTGATGCAACAAGCTTATGTTATAGTAGCCAAACTTTTGGATAGCATGACTACAATTAATCGGGCTTGGTACACCAGTGAAGATCAAGTCTCCCCTCTCACGTTTAAATTGACCAAGGAGCAGCTTGAGAAAGGCCAAGCGAGGGACCAAAACATGGCAAAGATCATGACCCAACTTGACATTTTTGGAAAAAATGTCATGGGAGCGGGTGCTAGAAGTGTCAATGTTGTGGGTGTTGGGTGTGTTAATCCTGATGAGGCCAAGTTTGAAGTGTTGTATAATGAAGAGGTGAACTTCCTAGCCAACCAAAGAGGTGGTTATCGTTCAAACTACCCTAGGCAGGTTGGTAACCAAGGTTGGAATAGGGATAAAGGTTGGAAAGATCAGAATAGAGAGTGGAGGGATGTAACCCTAGTTGGAAGAAAAGGGATGGGGAGAAGGACATGTACATTCCTCCCCACGAGCGTCAAAAGCCAAAGGATTCAGAGGGTGACCGTTCTGAGGATATGTTTTCCTGTATTTTCAACAAGGTTGAGGGGTCTGATAAAATTTTGAAAGAAATGAAGCAAGATACCTCTCATTCTATCTCTATCAAACAGTTGTAGACCTAGATGGGTCATATTTCATCTCATTTAAATTCGAGACAGCAAGGGGGTTGCCTAGTGACAATATGGTCAACCCCAAGAATGAGGTTTGAGTGAGCATTTGCGTCGTGCCACGACATTAACTAAGATGCAGCTTGGGAGGCAACCCAAGTTTTTATTTTCTTTCTTTTTATTTTCAAAATAATCGTGTGTTGATTGTGCAGGTTAAAGTGTAGAATGTGTTTGAAAAGTGCAGATTGGCGAGCTGAATTTCCAATCGGTGACTCGCCGAAGAGGTCGGCGAGCCTGACTTGGACAATTTTGAAATTGAAGTCTGTAAAACTTGGCGAGCCTAGGAGCAAATCGGTGTGTCGCCAAACAAGTCGGTGATCGCGACTTTGCCCGCTGTTTGGACCCCAAATTGACTGGAGGTCCTGTAAAACTCGGCGAGGTAAGTGCTCACTCGGCGTGTCGCCGAGTGGTTCGGTGAGCAAGAATAAGAGCTCCTAATGGTGAGAACTGGACGGTTTTTAAAGGTCAAAGGTTTAAAATTTCAAACTCATTCACATTCCCTCACTTTTTAACTTCCCAAACTCACACCCGTACTATTGGTTTCCCTGTATTTTTGCATTATTACCGCTTCTTAGTTATTGATTGTGTGTTAGGAGTTGGATATCTTTGCCGCCTAGCATTTTAACTTATATATTCAGCATAAAAGGTTGGTTTTCCAAACCCCTAACTCGTATTTAGCGGTTTCACTCATTTGCAATTGTTTTTATCTTAGTGATGTGTGTTGGGCCTCTCTGATCTGTAATTGTTTGCTTGTATGCCTGTTTTAATTTGAAAAGCATGCCTAGTTTGCCCAATTGTTGATTTCCTGAAATTTTTGTGCCTTAGAATTGATAAAAATTATTGGGTGATGTTTTGTTAATGTTGGTTCTAGTCGGTTGAAGTCTGAGTAACCCTTAATTACTCTAAATGACGTATTTTGCCCGACGATGGAGCGTTTGACGTCATTTCTAAGGGCTAAAGTCGTCAAATGGCCAAAGTTGGCCAAATCGGGAAAAGTGTGAGTATCCCGGGGGCATAGGTCTTATGGGTCTAGGTTTAATTGAGTGAGTGCATGTTTTGATTTTGTTTTCAGGGGTAGTGGGGTTGATTTTGGAAGTCGAGGTAGAAAGTAGGCACGTTGGGCAATTTGGCGAGCTGAGTTGAGCTCGCCGAACCACTCCACGGTTCTCCGAATCCCCCTTGCTCGCCTTTAATTTCTTGATTTTTAAGGCTTTTGATACTGTAACTTTCGGCGAGAAGCCTGAGTTCGCCGAGTGCACTCGGCGACTCGCCGAAGGTCTTCTTTGATCACCCTTTCTGCGCCCCTAACCCCTAAAATGCACTGTAACTTTTGGCGGACTGGTCTTTGCTCACTGACTGTTGTCGGCGATTCACCGAAAGGTCCCTCCTATCGCCGACATGCCAATTTTTCTGAGAATGTTTTAGCCAGTCCTTTAGGCGAGCCCGGTCAAGCTCACCAAAGCAATTCAACGATTCGTCAATCAGATCGGCGAGTCTGTCAACAACTATTTTTTTGCTACTTTGTTTTTATCGATTCCTAACTTTCTATGATGTGTTTGCAGATATGGCTAGACCAAATATGGTTGGTAGAGACATGTCTCCCCGTAAGAGGGCTAAGAGAATAAAAATCAAAGAGGATGCAGCTGCAACCACGGCTAAGGCTACCAAACTTCCCAAAATAGGTGGGAAGGGAAAAGGAAAGGGCAAGGCACCTGCACCTGCGTCACCAGAGGTCAGCTCCGATAGTGACAGGATCTATGCCACTCACCTCACCACTTCTAAGAGTGAGGGTGAGCACCAAGATCTTCGGGCAACCAATTCTGAGCCTGAGGATGATGAGATACTAGGAGCCCAGAGGGCGAAGCTGCAATCCAAGAGGATGAATGATCCATCTAGGATCGGGACTCCCCAGGCTACCACTACTCCTTTTGCTCCAGCACAGGCTTTGGTCCTAGCACCATCGGTACAGGGTCCTCCTCCCCGGTCTATGAATAGACTGAAGACTGAGGGATTGAGGACCATCTTTACAGAAAAGAGGCTCTCCATTGATGGGGTAATAGACAGATACCTCGAAATTTGGTGCACCATAAGGCCTGTAAGTTTGAGATCTTCACAAAACCCCGGGGTTCCTATATTCCAAATTGGGTCCGAGAATTCTATACCACTTACGGAGCCCTAGTGCCACAAAGGAAAAAGTTGGGTGCTCATTTCAAGTCGGTTGATTATGTAGCTGTCAAGGGTAAGAAAGTGATGTATGACAGTAATAACATAAATGTTATATTGGAGTGCACCGCAACATTGCAGACGCCTACCATTATAGGAACAAGACTAAGTCCTTGGAGAACATGAAAAGCTGGCTAGCCCCTCTCATATGTGATGGTACTCCGAGGTGGTTGGAGGAAGGAGCTCCGATAGAAAAGAAGGACCTTCATGTAGCAGCGAGGTACTAGTTTGGCTTTATCAGTAGCACTATCATGCCATCCTAGAATGATTGCATCCTATACCACACAAAGGCGGCTTCTCTTGGCTCGATCATTGCACGAGAGTGCATAAATTTTGGTATGATCGTTGAGCAAGAGATGGCCATGAGAGCCAAACAGCGCCAAACTTCCCTCTTTTTTCCGGTGCTGATCACTGAGCTGTGCAGACGGGCTTGGGTGCCTCGGGATGAGTAAAAGGATATAGAAGTTATTCTCACCTCCTATACTGACATCCGGAGGATTGAGGCGGAGTACTTGAAGGATGAGGCGGAGAAGAAGAAGGCAGCCCCGGTGGATGTTTCCCTGATTGTTGATACTTAGACACTACCTGCAAAGGAAGTATTGCCTACTCCGGCCCCTGGGCCTTCAGGTACATCTAGTGTTGTCCCGTCTGTTACTCCCAGTTCCTCTACTGCTCCCTTGCCTCCCCGATCTGGTATTGCTGCTGCTCGCCGACCCCCGCTCACCTAGGCTAGATTATTACAGATGGGGAAGCTGGCACATTCTGCCGATAGACGTGCCTCCAGACTTGAGGTCACCATTCCTGGCATGATCGAGAGGGCCCTTGCCGATGTTGTGGCACCTCTGAGGTCTACTATTGATGCCCTTGTGGCAAAGTTAGCGGTGTGCGAGTGTAGCCAAGGGGCTACTGAGGAGGTGACGGCTCTAAAGGCCTCTATGACTGCGCCGAGGAGAGATGTAGACCAACTAAAGTCCATTGACATGTCAATGATATTTGGGACAATGGAGATCTCGGATATGTCAGTTGATCCAAATATGCATTTGGCTACCACCGGAGATGAGGTTCGAGTTGCGGAGGTAATTGCCACCGTGTCTGATGTTGAGACTGATGAGGAGCTGCTTAGTGTTGTTGAGGAGGCTTCTTATAAGGGCCTTACGGAGGTTGAGGAAGCCATAATAGATGCAGCCGTATAGATCTCATTGGGAGACACATCCATGGGTGACCCTACTAGACCTATTGTTGGTGATGTGACTCCGGGCTCTGATGCCCATGATCAAAGTGCTACACCGGGCACTGATGCCCCGACAGATGGAGCGACTGCTTAGACATGACTTCTTTTTACCTCCATCTCTGTCATATCTATTGATGTTTTAGTACTTTATTACATTTGAGGACAAATTCTTTTTGTTTGTGGTGGAGTGAGGTATTTTCATACCTACCTCTTGTAATTATTACTTTTGTTTATATATTGGGTTTTATGCTATAAATTGTGTTTTAGCATTGTTTTGTGGATATTTGAGCTTGTGGCTCCTTGTGTTAATTGAAAATGATTTTTGGATCCTTCTGGAAAAATTTGCCACCTTTTGATTGTATATTTAATAGTGGCTTTTCTTGTACAAATTTGAGTGTCGATTGTGATCAATACCAATGACTTGAATAGTGCTCTCAATCAAACAAAAATGAATGTGCGACTACGATGAGGCCAAATGAAGTTGCATAGATAATATGTGAACTTTTTGCATCTCGTTGTGACTAGTCAGTTATTGAATGAGTCTCTTGTGATGAACATTCCACACTAGCGAAAGTGTGGAGTCTTGTTTGATATTGGTGTCAATGCCTTGTGTGATAAGCCTATCGTGAACCTTATGTGATGACACCTAGAATTTGCCCCATTCGTCCGATTGACTAAGTGATGCAAGCTCTTGAAATGGTCTTAGGCAACGATTTTAAAGAGTGAAATACTTTGACATTATACCGCTTTTGTGGTCTAACTTGTGAGTGTGTATGAACTTTGGTTGAACACCCTTTGAGCCTTACCCTTTTTCTTGGAAGAATCTTGATGAAATTGTGACCTTTCTTTATCCCTTCACCCATAATCCTCATGAGATGTGGTTTGTTGGAATAGTCGACTTAGGCCAAAACCCTAAGTTGAGAGTGTGGTGAAAACAGAAGGTAAATCAAGAAGTGCAAAGAAGTCCCCCTTTGACCCATGGTTTTGAGAAAGATGGAACCCCTCCATACAAAAAAAAATGTGAGAGAAAAGAAAAGAAGAATGAAAAAGAAAAAACTGAAAAAGTTTTGAAATAGAGTTGTGAAAGTGCAAAAGAAATGGGTGTCCGGTATTCCATGGAAAGTAAGTAATGGTGTGACTTTTGAGCATGAATGAAAATGTTGAAGAAAAGGGAAGAAAATATTTTTCATACCACATTTCATAAGGATAGCAGCCTCTGAGCCTAAATGACCATACCTTTACACTCAGCCTCATTACAAGCCTTGAAAAGACCTTTTTGATCTTGAGTGAGCTGAAACAAGTGTTGATTGGAAAATAAGGGCAAACCTATGGGTAAAGTCATGCATGTATTCATCTTTGTGAGTGTGAGAGTTGCATGTGATTTCGGAACTATAAAATGTTGAACCATTGTGTGTGTTACGACTCGATTTCGAAAACTAAGGTTTCGAAACCATTTTCGCAACTTTGGCAATTTTGTTAAGGTTTTTTTTGGAAAAACTCATAATTTGGAAGTCGCCACTTAATTTTTTAGGAAAAATTAAGAAAACCATTTAAAAGGGATAATTTTTAAAAGAAAACATTTGAATAAATCAGAGTCGGGTAAGGGTTCAAATAATTCTCTAAGGAAGGGTTTAGGCATCTTAGAGAATCCGCTAATACGCGGTTGACCGACGGATTTAAAAGTTGGCTAATTTTAAAAGAAAACTTAAATTACTTGAAAAAATCTTATTTGAAACTTAGAGAAAATCTTTTGGTATTTCTAAAAAATCTCAAGAATAATCTTAACTTAAAATTTTTTATCCATTGTCAAGTTTTGAATCATACGATTAATTCAAACTTATAAACATGGATTAAAAGACTTTGTTTAATAACTACGAAAGGATATAGAAAATCCTTAAGTCATTCTTATAAAGTCCTAAGTTAACTTTAAAGACAACTAATTTAGTTAAAAAAAACTTAGCAATTTTATCCTATTCAAAAAATTTGAACTAAATAGTTAGTTCAAACTCATAAACATGGATTCAAAGCTTTTCAATAACTATGAGAGAACATGAAAAGTTCTTAAGTTATTCTAATAAGCTTAAATTGCATAACTTAAAACGAGTTTTGGGAATTTGAAAATTTGAAATGCTATCAATTATAATAAAGAAAACTTTGATAAAAATAAACTCAAAGAGATCCATGGGAATTTCATCTAGATTAAGAAAATGTTAGCCATCACAAATAAAATAATAAGAGGAAGTAACATGAACAGTGAGTCAAAAACTGGAAATTCCAGCCCACATTCGATCATTTCGGGGCTGAAATTGTTGTGTTGCGGCTTGATCCCTTAGGGGGTTTTAACCCAATTTTGTTTCTCCTTTTTCGGCCTTTTTGAGGTCTCTACTGCTGCTGGTCATTTTACCAAGCTTTTAAGACCAAAATACTCAAATTTCAGCCCTTTAGGACTGCTGCAATCTGCCTCATTTCTTGGATTTTTCACCCAATAAAAATAACTTCTCTTTCACGACTTGAAGGAGGACTCGAAGAGAGGAAAATGCAAGAGATGGGAGTCCAAATTGGACTCAACGAGAGAGTGTTCATGCACCAAGAAATAAAGGAATAAAAGATTAGCACATTAACAAGGGGGTAACATTAGTTTAACACGTAAACAAACTCAAACAATACATAGTAATGCAAGTTAGATATGTCAAACAATGGAAGAAACCAACAGAAACAAACAAAGACAATTAATTTCCAAACCTAACACAATTCTTCCACATTCAAACCAAGAAACAACACAATCATAAATTCCAAACACATACTTAAGCGATAAGAATATCAGAATATTAGATAAGGAAAAGGACAATTGAATTTTTACCATAACACTTGAGAGTACCTAAAAAAAAGAGGTTAAGGTAACCATCTAAGAAGGGCAAGAATACTAAACATACATATATATAGCTATCTTAATATATTTAACACATAGAAAGTGAGAGGAAACGTAATTTGAAACATGAGTTCACACAACATGAGTTGCTGGGAAAGCTTAACAAATTCCAACATTTCAAAGAAATGGAAAGTATTTAAGAGAGGCAGTAACCAGACCACAACAATTAATCTAATTGAGACTTGAAAATATGTCTTTCCCAGAAAACCTAAGCTATTAATCCAATCTAAAATGCAATTTTCATGTCAAGCATATGCATCTTATATCTTAAACTAGGAGGATAAATATATATTTGAAAGAAGCAATTTTTTAAAAATCCAAAGACTCCAACAAGCTCAATATAGCATTTTTATACCGAACAACCCAATGTTAAAGAATATACAACTTATATTTCTAATTATATGCATTCAAAAGAGGGTAAATGGAAGGAAGGAAACCTTCCGTAACTATATCGATCAGCAACTATATAACATGGATTTCAAAGTTGAATAAGAATTAAGGTAACTAGAAGCACATATTTCACATGGATTTACGAACTCGGCTAAGCGAAGGAATCATCTACACATTTTTCTCAAGTATATGGAAATAACCATGAAGGAAATGTAAAACAGGCGGGTTCAAATAAGTAACTTGAACAAGATCATACTTCATAAGAAAACAAAAAAAAAACTAACTAAGCCAAAATTAATTTTTGCTCGGAATAAACAACAACAAAAGAACACTTAAGATAATGAGGAAAATAACAATTTATTTTTCTATGCTAAAGCAGCTAATACCAAACATGATTCCAACGAGCAAAACATAATTGAGAGTGCACGAAATATTGAAATAAAGAGAAGATTACCTGGTTCTGGGCAGCGAACCGGACGTCAAGTTTGACGGAAACGACCACCACCTCCTTCAACTCAAACAAACCACAAAAGCTATGAAAATTTTGAACTATTGAACCAAAAATTCCCAAAACATTTAGGGTCCTCTTTGGTCTCCAAAATAAAAAATCCTCCCCCTTTTTTGAAGATGATGACCGACTTTTATAGAAGGAAGTAGGGCAGATTTGGGGGGAAACAGATGAGGGTAGAATCGGGCTAAAAAAAGGGTAAAATTTGAACTTCCAATGGAATTCTATCCAGAACAAAAGCATATTCCCAATGATTCTTGCAATTTCAACGGATTGAAGGCAAGATGGAGGGCTAAGATCGGCCCAACGTCCTTTGAATGCTACGCGGCTTGATCTTGAGGCCACAAGGGCGAATTTGCAGCTGGAATCGGCGCTGGAACAGTACTACGTGTACTGTTTGTCGAGGGAAAAGAAAAAGACGACGAGAATAAAGCTGTCACGAGTACATAGACGCCGTGAACTGCTTCTGTGTATTGACGTCGTGGACTGGCTGCTACTTTTCGTCTGCTGGCTGTGTACCTTTGAATTGAAAGGAATGTTGTTGGGTTTCTTTTGTTGGTGAAGGGATTGGGTCGGGTCATCTGGAGGGGCTGGAAATAAGAGAAAAAAAATGGAATTGAGAATGGGAAGGTTGTGGGCTGAGATTTGAAATGAAATGCCCAAAAATGGGTCTTACAAAGAGTGAAGACAAGGCAAACGAAAATAGCTAGAATTGCAATTATGGCCATTTAGCCAACTCAAGTTATTTAGTGAATTCGGCTAAAAACTAAATAAAATGAATTAACATAAATTAATTAATGAGCTTCTTAATCTTGACGGAATAAAAATAATTAACTTAATTATAAACTAATGATTCAAAATTATAATCATAATTTAAACTAAGCTAATTTGATAAAATACTTACTAAAGTTAAAAGTGAGTTCCTAATGTTTATAAAATATACTAATTACATACAAAATTATATAAAGTATATGTATTACTTAAAAATTATAAAAATGATAAAATTAATTAAAAGTAACTTGAAAAGTATTTTGAATTTTATAAAAACTAATTATTTCAAATCATTTGGAATTTAAGAAGCCCGGTGATTAATTTATATTATTGTGGAGGTCCAAAATTGGATGTCAACAGTGTG